GTCATGTAAAAAGCTCATTTATCTTGGCAAAATTTATGACAGAAAGTGGTGATATCGATTGCTATCCTGGACAAGTCCAATACTTTTTTACACATGCCGTTAATTTGCCAGATGGGTTATCCGAACATAATCTAGCATTTATTCGCTGGTATAAACCTGCAGAATCATCAAATATTCGGTATCATTTCAGAGTTAGAGATGACGAAATATGCAATGTTGAATTATGGTGTACTGAGTTTTACCTAGAATCCCGCGACTGTATTATTCCAGTTCATCATATTCTTGGCCGATTTATACTAACGAAATACCTAATTTCAGGCAGTAGAAGTTCAAACGTCTATTTAGCGGTAAATCCAGTCAATAGAAAATTTCATATTCGCTGAAATTAGTATCTTTTTTGAACTTTATTTTGATGAAATGACATATAATTTCAAATAATACAAATATCGGAATTTATTAAATTTCAAAATAATACAAATTTCAAATAATACAAATATCGGAATTTATTAAATTTCAAAATATACAAATTTCAAATAATACAAATATCGGAATTTATTAAATTTCAAAATAATACAAATTTCAAATAATACAAATATCGAAATTTATTAAATGTTAAAACAATACAATACAAATATCGGAATTATTAAATGTCAAATTTACATATAATATAATTATCGAAATGTCAAAATATTATAATGCGCAAACATCGGAATTTGAAACAAATATCGGAATTTGCACCGCAAATCGGCTATGCCGAATGTCATCTGATATGCAGCCGATTATCGATCATATCCGAAATCTGAATTTTGCACCGCAAATCAGCTATGCCGAATGTCAGCCGATTATCGATCATATCCGAAATTTATCCGAAATTTGGCCGAAATTTGGCCGATTTGCCTTACTTCTGATTTGCCTTATTTCGACTAGTGTATATATAAAACATAGTGGCGTTCTTCTGCAGTATGTACTATATATTTATGATTATTTTTTTATTTTATTTATTTTATTTATTAATAGTAATTATTTATTGTGTTTATTATATGATCAGATTGATCTGACCGTTGAAAAACTGATGAAAAAACCTCGAATTCTAAAAATTAAAAGAGTTCAAAAATGTAAAACAACAACAAGTATGCCTCCAGTGGATATACAAAATTGGTGTCTGACCGATGAGACTCTTAAAAGATTTAATCGTTCAACAAATGAAATTCCAACATATAATTATAATACTGATCAAGATGAAGAAAATGACGAATATCATAACGATGAATATGAAAATAAAAAAGAAAAAATTAAAAAAACAAAAAAAGCAAAAAAAAGGAGTAAAAAAATATAAAAATAATTAAATATTATGATTAAATACTTTTATTAGGTTATTCTTATCAATTGGCATTTATACAAATTGATTAAAATAAAGTTGTATGTAAGATTAATTTGAACATTCAATCCAATTAATTTTAAAATAAAATATGTATATTTTTAATATTTTCGTCAGTTATTCGTGATATCAGAAAAAATAAAAAAAATTGAAAATAAGAGATTTTATATGAATAAACAATTATCTTTAATATTAAAATACTTTTTTTAGTAATAATTTTAATATACCTCTTTGGATTATATAATACAAATAGTACAATAAATAAATATTTTGCATATCAGTACCCGATATATGTAAGATTGATTCACTATTACATATCAGTGACTAATCGTTTAGATATCGGGAATCCAATTTTTAGGCATGTTTGATATGTTACATATCAGGTACCCAATATATAATAAATGTCCAATATGTATCTAATTAGTCACTGATATATAGGTACCCGATATGTACCTGATCATCGGGAAATTTTTTGGGGAGCAGATCTGCGCAGATTTTCAGAAATTATATCTACGCAGATCTTATACCCTGGCGCAAAATATTAAAGGAAAAATCCAATAAAAAACTGCGCAGATTTTAAAAATAACAAAGTTCTGCGCAGATTTTTAAATAAAAAACCTTCGAAATACCTCAGCAATTTTTTTCAGTAAAAATCTGCATCACAATAATACAAATTAATTTATTGCATTAATTACTACTAATTTATTTATATAATCAAAATTACGTTTTTATTATTATTATATATTAACAAGTTTACAAATACAATTGAAATCTATTACTAGTCATTGCTATTTATCATCTCTTTACTGCACATTTACATGTTGTTAATGGTTTGGACATTGTTCCAGTTGGTTCGATTCCAACAAACAACAAAATAAAATAGAAAATCAGAGATGTTTGTTAGAAATAAGAAAATCATTTCAAAGTTATTACTTTCAAAATGTTTGACACGAAATCTCAGGATCTAAAAAATAAAGTAAAATGAACGTTAGTAGAACGTTCGTTAAAGAAGAATAAAAAAAAAATTATAAAGAATTTTGAAGATATACCTTCAAATTCTTTCGTCCAGGAGCCAGAGAAAAAAACCCTACAGAAAAAAACAACTAAAACGTTAGTAAACGTTTCGCAAATTAAAAAACATGAAAGAATTTTGAAGGAATTTTACCTTCGAAATTCTGTCCAGAAGCCGTAAACCTGCAAAAAGTAAAAAGAAAAGACAAACGAAACGTTAGTAAATGTTTCGTTAAACATTAAAAAAAAATTAATTTCGAAGGTAAATACCTTCGAAATCCTGAAAAAATCTCCAAGTCTGGTTCGTCTAAAGAAGTTCGGCGTCCCTATATAAAGAAGAAAGAACGTTAGAAACGTTCTTTGAAAAAAAAAATAAATTTTAAAGTTTCGCAATGAGAGTTGCGAAACTTACCATTTACTTGTTTCAGAAACCTTGGAGTACCGAAACCTACAACAAAAAAGAAAAACGAAACGTTAGCTAACGTTTTGTTTAAATAAAAACAAAAAAAAACAGAATTTCGAAGGTTACCTTAAAAATTCTGTTCAGGAGCGTCCAGAGAGCTGTGTTTCTACAAAATACAAAAACAAACGTTAGAAAACGCTTCGTTAAGTATAATTATTAAAAAAAAATTTTTTTGAAGGTTTTACCTTCGATATGGGAGACTGAACTCATTTTCGGCTTCCTTTATCTAAAAAAAAAAGGAAATACGAACGTTAGTTACATTCGTCAATAAATAAAAAAGAAAAAAAAATTTCAAAGGTTTTACCTTCGATATGGGAGTCTGGAACTCGTTTTCGGATTCCCTTGCCTAAAAAAAAAGAAACACGAACGTTAGTTAACGTTCGTTAATAAAAATATTAAAAAAAATAAAATTTTTGAAGGGTTTTACCTTTGATATAGGAGTCCAAAACTCGGTTTCGGATTTTCTTGCCTAAAAAAAAAGACGAAACGTTTGTTAATGTTTCGCTAAATAAAAATATTAAAAAAAATTAATTTTTTCGAAGGGTCTTACCTTCGATATGGGAGTCCGGAACTTGTTTCAGATTCCTTTGCCTAAAAAAAAAGAGATGAAACATCAGAAACGTTTCGTCAATAAATTAATTAAAAAAAAAATTAATTTTCGAAGGTTTGTTTTACCTTCGATATGGAAGTCCGGAACTTGTTTCGGCTTCCTTTACCTGAAAAAAAAGAAACGAAACGTTATAAACTGAACGTTTCATTAATAAATTAATTAAAAGAAATAATTTGAAAGTTTTACCTTCAAACAGAACTTTCAAATGGGTCCAGAACATACCTTCAGCGTTCTGGACCTATAAAATACAAAAACGAACGTAACTAACGTTCATTAAAGTTAAATTA